CTAAGAATCTTCTAGCAACCCTATGAATGCCCTCTCCTAGCAGACTTTTCCTGAGTAGTGTTACAACTTAGTAATTCTTCCATTGCGTAAATGAGTGATTACTCGCGGAAGTTAAGTAGAAAAATCGAGTTAATTCTGGCCGAAGACGACGCACTTCGGCTTGGTTGGGAGCAAGGTACAGCATCGTTGTGTGAAACACTTGGGGAGGGGGTCGTGCTGTCCCGCTGAGGAGGGGGTGGGTCGTACTCGGTCGCTGCGGGAGGGGGTCGTGTGTGCCTTCAAGAGAAATTTACTATGTTGGGAAAAATTTTCCCCGGTTGTTGACTTTTCGCGTGATTTTTCCTGTTTCATTCCTGTTTCATGTGTGCTATGTACCCCTATACCCCCCACTCGACAAAAACTGGGTGAAAAACTGGACCGGAAAATGTGGGAAATTGGTAGGAAGGTGTTGGGGAAGGGGGGGAGGTCGTACTGACACCCTCTCTCGGAGGGGGGGGTCGTACCTACACCACCATTTCACACATCACGATGCTGTACCGTGGTTGGTAGGTTGGCTAGACTTTTGTAGACAATTTTGTGTATAAAAGGCCATGTGGCAGCTTCACAGAAATTCACAGGTATCACCAGAATGAGACCCATTAAGTTGAACTGGCAGAGGGAACTAGCGGAAGCGCAAAAGGCCCCTTCCAAGCCGAACAGCGCCCCGAAATAAAATCGAAATGGGTTCATATCCAACAAACACCCTCGTTTCAGGCAGTGATGTGCAACGTTCAACCGATTCAAATGCATCAATTGAAGAATCGGAGTTCGATGTACAAAGCGAAGAAAAATCGAGAACTCATGGAATCGCAGGATAATCATGAGAATAAGGTAGGTGTACTTAATGTCGGTATCGCTTTCTCTCTCACTCCATTAGGTTGAGATTTCATCAAGCAGGGGATGAAATCGTCGGCCCTTCTCCTCGGCAAAAACGCCTCACATTGCGCATCATTGATTCTTATCAACATTTCTTTGATGCTCTTCAATGACACCAACATGTACCATCAAATGGAGAGCTGGTAATGAAACTGACCAGACACATCTTTGGCCCAAATTTTTGCGCCCACGTAACCGAGAAACCCTTAATCCGCTATGATAGCATCTGAAGACGTTTTCGGGTTAAGTGTTGCTACCACGCGTCAACGGCGCTTTCACAGGTGTGCGGGTAATGGATTGTCGCTCATGGTTTTTTGGATAGCTAAGAAGCAACTCGGAGAGCGAACGTGAAGACGATCTCGCTATCGCAGTATATTTGTAAAACGGGCCTTTTGTTCCTACTTGGAACAGAAGGCCCGTTTTACAAATATACTGCGATAGCGAGAAAATTTTCTCACGTAACTCAGTGTTTCTTTTTTGGGGATGTGGCATTCACAGAGGTTCTTGGAATCCTGGTCGTCGGAAATTAGTTGTGCAGCCTTTACCCTTTACGCTTCTTTACTTCACCTTACTCTTACAAATTTAATGAAAACGCTTTCCGAACCATTCTGCGGAGATTCCAACCAGGAGTAACATACAGATTATTAGAATCAAACCTTTGTGCATTTAAATGCCAACGAGTAGTTAGAGAGCGGCATTGGGATGGGTGAAATGGAGGTGTCAGTACACCCCTTCTTCTCGAATTTCCTCTTCCAGAGCGATTTCCTTTCACAGCTTGTCGACATCTATCAAAGTTGTTCCAACTAGAAATAGGTGGGACGGGAAAAATTGGAAGAATTTCAGTGCGGCTCAAACAATTCTTTCAAGTCCAGTTGTGATCCCTCCCTCCCGCCCCTCCTCTTCCTCCTTTCTACCATCATCACAACTGCTCCCCAACACTTTTCTCACTTTCCAAATATTTTACTTTCGTAATATTTCCGAAAAAAACTCGTGTATCGGGCTGCAGCAGGAGGGGGGATCGAGGGTAGTTCAGTCACCAATCAAATACTAGTGCTCTATTCAGCAATAGTAGCTTCGGAAAGGTTTCTGTGCTTCTCCACCACTAAAGGCCTGGCGGAAGGAATTCGGAAAAACTTTTCTCAAAACGCGAATGCCAACTCTCTTACCAACCGAATTGGTAATCCCTCCCTCCCTCCCTAGCCAACGACTACCGACCCGCAATCTGATTCTTTTACTGTACCCTGGCGTATGACACAGCGAAAAGGAGCAATACATTTGAGGCGCTGTATCTGTCGACGGGGGGCGGGGGGATTTTGTATTATCATTGCTTCCCTGTTTCCACGGTTTACAAATCTCAAACTCTTGGTTAAAAAATTTGTGAACTCTGGGAAGCTGAAGTAAGATTGTCTAGCCACTATCCTGAAACGTGTCAACTCGAGAAACGGCTACCTAAATGGGTCGACACATCTATGGAAAGCAAAATGCGGCCCCACTCGGTCGACCAAACTTGCCGCAAATAACGAGTTTAAGATGGAATGTAATCAAAAAGAGGAAAAGAGGTGATCACTGACAAAATATGAGACTCCATTCTTCGCAATTAACACATCCTACGCATTCCCTGCCACACCATTTGGAAGCACACCCTACATTAATCCTATGGGCGGAGTCGCTTCGGATCATGGCGCCTCTGTCGGTGCTCACTATGCTTTGTAATCGAAAGAAAAGAGCGCAGCGGGCACCCAGTGACTCACCGCCACATGCGGATCAACGTGGAGTGCCTTTAGACGTCTGCACACACGTCCAAGCTGACGTCTGCTTTTCAGTTATTATTACATCTCACACACCCACTTCGCATCGGCGATTGCGCAGGAGGCCATCGTCTGGAGAATCGAGGCAAAAATCGTGATGTCATGGTGGTTCCACGTGAGTTTTCTCCTTCTCTGTTCTTTTCTCTGTTTTTTTTTTCTTCTTAGCCTTTTTCTGGAAAAAATATGGGATACAACAATATGATTTCGTTTGGCAGTTCAAAAAAAGATAGCTTCACTCAACTTCGGCTCACCTAATGTTTTCTATGCATGCTAACATTCAACTGATAGTTTCGTAATTACGACGTCATACTCACGTTATCCAATCAATTATCATTCTTAAACCTCTCGGTCTTTATCGTTTTCAACTTTATACCTTATAAACTTGCTGCAATTGACTTTTCTTCCTTTCCTTACTGAAGAGCACGGAAGGAGGAATATGCTTTTGCTCGGCTTCCGTCTAAGGGCACGTGCGAAACGGAAGCTGAGCTATCTCTTTGCTTTCGACCCCCCTCAATAATTCTCATTTATTAGATTTTACAACATAGTTCATTTTTAAAAATCCTGTTTCCCCAAAGATTTTTTTCTATGCATTTCAAACCTTCGAAAGGCCTTTCCTAATAATTGTAGTTTTCTATGTTTCTTAATTGTTTCGTGGGACTAAGAAGCTTTCGATGAGATCTGTTGCCTTTCGCCCGCGACCTGCTTCGCAGCCCATCTCGCGCTCCTCCATTCAGAACACGTGGAGGGTGTTCTGGAAAATCAGTGGACTATCCGAAGGTACTTGACTCCACTCCATTTTCGTTACGCTGGTAGGTGAGTCGCACAGTCAGGGAATTCTAGGCGGGTAAAGCACTTTACCCATTCCTTCGGCGTTTCTTTAATGTCAGTTTTCACTAACGGATTGTGTTGTAAAAAAACCCCAGACTTCAACCTCGTTTAACCCAAGAAAGTCGCTGGGTTCGGATAATCCATCAAATCCTAACGAGATTCAACAACGCCAGCGATTGGTCCTCTCCAATCCCCCAACTTGTGACAAAGCGGCGCCCTTCGTGTTCTTTTAATGAGCGCAGCGTAAAAAAGCGTTAACGGCCTTCAAAGGTGGATCTGCTCATGTTCTTAGTTAATCTGTCGGAACTTTTGAAGATCCAACCTTGACCTGGAAAATTTAGTACGATTATAAATCCTTCTAATCTGGATCAGGCGTGGGAATCTAATGTCTCCAAAAACTAATCTGGGAAAGGGATTTTGATTTGTCTAAATCGGTTGATCCCGATTCTTCACCAAGCACTTTCCACAGCACATTTCATTTCTCTCTGAGCTAGCGGTAGGGGAGACAGTCATGATACGATGACACCCCGCAGCAGGGGTTCAACAACACGTCCGCGTTAGGCAGTACGCGTTTCACAAGTGCCGGAAGAAGAAGCAGAAGAGGGCAGAAATGGTAGGCTGATGTTCAGTCCTACGATGATCGTGGACTATGCCTTTCATCCACACGGTTACCTGTGGGCGGAATACACAGATTAAGCGCTTTTCGGCGACAGGAAGGGGTGGGGGGAAGGGGATTCTTACACATCCGCTGCTTCACTACTTCCGGTTTCCAAATCTAACTCTGATGATACGTGAACTCTTGTGAAGCTGGAAAGAGCCTCCCCCCCCAACCACACCCTGTCGCCGAACTGTCATCACAGATTATACAGTAGCTAGATCGATACAGATGCACCAGATCAATAATCAGTTTGGGCAGTGCGAGCTTTGATGACATATTCGAGTTCAACTTGACCATCGTGGCCCCTTAAAAGGCCTCTCACTTCAAGGGGGGGGGGGACAGTAGTAGACGGTGAAGTTTGCCACGTTGACTGACGTTGACTCATGAGGGCAAGAGAATTGTTTAATCAGCTTTCGACCTGGATCTTCACCCTCCCACTCCCGTCTTCATCTGGGAAAAAGATGTCTTATTTTCTTCACCGGGAGGGATGAAAATCTTTCGTCTAGCACATTTCAGTTTACGCAAATTAATGCAGATCCGGCGCTGTTTATCGAGGGGGGGGGGCATTCTGCTTTTCATAGATTTGCCAACCCATCTAGGTACCCTTTTTTCGAGTTTTAGGATGGTGGCTAGACGATCTTGCTCCTTCACAAGCGTTCACAAGTTTTACCAGAGTGAGATTTGTAAACCGGAACCAGGGAAGCAATTATAATACAAAATGCCCCCCGTCGATAAACAGCCCCTGCAGATCCCTTTGAAACGACCGAATGCAACCCTACCCTCAGACAAGGGAACCCTTCAGGAATCGCCTGTTCTGCGGGAACCGCTCCTTGTAAGTTCTAAAGGATTTGCTGGCTCCCAAGAATTGTAAGAACCATGCTGGACTTCTTAACTCTTCCTCTTCCTTCTTGCCCTGGAAGCTCACGATGAAAACCCTTGGATATGATCAACTTTTGAACTATTCAAACGATTTCCAAATGGGTTATAACG